GACAATGTGGCAAAGAATACAATGGCCCAGTAGGGTGTCTGAGGCTGTAACGTTTACAAAACCAGAGTGCCACACCTCTCTCTACAGCCCTGGCTGGTAGTTTCCAATCACTTATCTTTTGGTTAGTGGGAGATTGCTGCACCATTGTGCTACCAGCATTTCTTTAAATAATACAAGGGGCCTGAGGGTACTGCATACCAATAAGAGAACTCCTTTTTATATTTAATTTTGGATAGCTCTCACCACATTGTGGAGTTAATAACTCACAAAGGGTATAAGGAGATAATGAAGAGATTAGAAGAGATGCTGCTAAAGACTCTGTTTTGCAATTCGTATCATACAAAATGACAAGACATTGATAGAATGTGTTTTGCAGAAATAATGTTGTTACTATTAGAACTGAGTCCGATTTATGTTGATTCTTTGTTTGCACAGAACTGCTCCCTAAGGTTTTCAAGACTGATTACTAGCTACAAATCCCCAGAACTTGCTGATAAAGCACTTCTCGGTGACTACAAACAGCCAACCTTTTGGCCTGTGGTCCAACCTTTAGCTGTTTGTGGCACCCAGGCATTCTTGTAGTAAAACTGTGGATGCATAGAAAAATTCTCCCAAAATAATGATAATTGAAAGCAATCCTAAGTAAATTCTCACCAATATTTTGACTATAAAGTTGTAGCATATATATTTTTATTATAATAAAGGTGAGATAAAATGACAAAAGGGATTGCACACATGAACTTTTAGTCTCAATAGTATATGCTATGAAAGCTGGAATGAACTCAGTATTTTCCAATAAGTGTTTCCCTTTACTTAGAACAAAATCCACAAGTTTAGAAATTTAAATATCTTTATGTCAATATAGTTGCTTTTACTTTATTCAATATCATTTCTTATGATATCATTGTAAACAAAAAATAATCAAAGGCTTTTCAGACAGATATTTTAGATAAAATTTCACTGGTTATCTTACAATTGTCTTCAATTTCTAGGGAATGGTTGTGTCTATTGACAAGATATCAATAATATTCCAAATAATAATCCCTTAATATTTTGTTAGTGCAACTGTTTTGGAACTGAGCAACCCTTTAGGTTAATAAAGGGGATGGTATATTTTAGAGGTGACATCAAAAACTTATGGACAAAATCTTAAGTAAATGAATTATTAAAATAACCACTAAAGCTTTTCTGCATTATAGCCTTTTTCAATTACACTCTTGAAGTTCAATTATTTTTGTTTGGTGTTTGTTGAGAATTCCAGAGTTCTTACACATATTTTATTGTCATCTGAAAGAAGTTTACAATTCTAAACAATATTTAGAAATCTTTGTTATAACAAGCGATGATATTTTAAAACCCCAAAGATTATATGTTCTTGCTGCATTTTATCATTTTTAAAGTGTGACAAATAATTCATTTTAACTGAATCACTTTCAATTTTGCTATTCTGATTTTCAAAAAGCTAAAGTTCTATAACATTTTAATGCAATGATATTAAGTTAAAGATAAATCTAAGTATTGTGTTTTGAATATATGTCCACATTCTATGTATTTAAATTTTTCTTAATTCTTCCAGAGTACCCCTTTATTGAATATCTGAATATCAGCAAAGTGCATTAAAGCAAAAGTGAAAAGAAAAGCCAAATGTTTAGGAATTGCTTATGATTAACTAAATTTTGATAGATGTGTTCATGATTACTCCTGACAAAGGAAATGATATTTTCATACATACATAAAAGAAGACAGAAAGAAGACAATAAGACTTTATTTGTGTTCTTCTAAAAACATAAAATATACTTTTTAAAAAGTGTAAGTGTTCCTAATTCTATGTTAAAGTTGATTTCTTAGGCTTTTAATTTAAATTCTAGCATTCAGTCATACAGAAAGAAAAAGTTCTTGGGGATAAGCAATAGACTTATTTGTATGATTAAGCATATCACCCCTTCCCTGTTATTACTTTATAAAAGAACATGGCAGCCTCATTAAGCATTTTTAGATCTTTAAACATATAACTGAATATTCGGCTACTTTTCTGAATGTCAAAACGTACATATGGTCATTATAAAACTAGGTGCATGTTCAGCCAAAAAAAAAAAATCACTCCCTCAATAATTATTTAAACATTTTGATTAAAAGCAGGTAATTAGTGTCAATTTTTAGCTTCTTTAATTACATAAGGGACAGGCTTTCGAGATGATGTTAAATGATACAGGTATTAACAACTCTCACCTGAATTTAGGGATACAGTAGTGAAGAATATTTTAAATTCATAGTTTGCAGTATAATAAGCTCAACCATAAAATTCCTAGTCTATTAAGTCATAGCCAAACTTACATATTAAAGATAATTGTGAATTTGAGATGACATTAAATACTAGAAGGCACAAGAAATGGATTCAGACATCATTACAGTTATATAAAATACCGAGAATGTGTAAAGAAAAACAACAGCATAGTTATTTTTCAGCTAATTTTCCATCCAGGTCATCCTTCATCTCAAATTCCAATTGTTAATCCCTGTGAATGGGCTAAAATGGGCCAACCTTTTTAAAAATGCTATTAAAATTTAATTATTCTAACCTTATACCAGAATAATATGCTTACAAATCTAATTTTTCCAGGGAACATAATAGATTTTTCATTGACTTCTAGCAACACAGAATTGTAAATAACTTTCATAATTCTTAAAATCGGATTTCTAAGTGGACACACTCATTTCTTATGAAGTAGAGACACTTGTATTAAATATATGCATTGATAATTTCAAGATTGACATATTATTTACCATGAGTGCTAAAATTAAAAAGAAGTTAATCAATGAAGATAAGGCATTTACCTGATATAATTTCAGTTCCCTATAAGTGTAACTTCACCAACAGTAGTACTAAATTAGAACAAGTGTGACTTGATTTCTTTTTAATACTTTAGAATAGATCTAGCTGTTAAGTAGTAAATATGTGCATTTATTTGGAAGTTCAAATTTAAATTACTCAGAATCAAATATCATTTTCCCCTCTAAATCACTGGTAATGTAGTTCAGTAATATATATTCTTAGGTTAAGTAAAATAATCCCTAGACAATACTGCACGCTGTTTTTGGGTGAAAAATAAAATTCAAACACCTAGAATGCAATCTGAGGGTCAAAACCACATCACAGTCCCAATTTATTAGGAAAAGTATAATTTAGGTGATTTAAAATCACAGATGTGTATGACTTTGTCTGCTAAATGTTAAAAATTTAGGATCTAAATTAAATCGTAATTGTTAATGTCAGATATTTACATATTTAATTTCCTTAAGCAGTTGTGCTCTCCCTTAAGTTTATGACATTAAAAATTAAAGCAAAAAAATCAATGATATCTAGGTAAAAACAATTCTAGGGTTCTTAAGTTCATACTATCAGTCATGGTCTAAATGCATTCAATTGATAGCTTTCATATCATATGAGAAGCCTTTGAAAAACTCAAGAAAAGTTTCCATTATCTTCTAATTCCATGTTCCCACAAACTTTTTAAGGTCCTGTTGTGTAGACATAATAATTGAGATATGTATTATTTTAGTGCTTTTCTTTAAATATTGTTTGCCTCTTTCCTCTCACTTTAGGAGTCATAAATGAAAGGAATAGTTAGAACAGCTCATCTTCTGGTCCTGTGACCTTTTAAAGCTATCAGATGACAGTAAGAAAAGCATGTACAGAGGATTCATTGTCAAAAATTAAAATCATCATTTGTTTGCATTGCTACACGTTTAATTGTAATGTTATTATTTTATGGTTCTTATCCACAACACTGAAATCTCAATAGTTATTTATCGATGAACTAAAAGCAAGACTCCTGTGTCGCAGAACATAAATGGAATAATTCCATTATGAAGAGTCTTAAAAGAAATATACTATGAATCTCAAAGCCTTTTTATTGTTCACAGTGGTTGTATAAAATAATACACCAAGAAAATAAAGTAGCAATAGTGAAAGAACTGAGAACAATTATCAATCTGTCTAAGTTCCATTGTCATCCAGTGAATTTTGCCTCGTGGCAATGTTGCGTGTGTCAGAGTAAAGTTGTGCTCCATACGGTTTGCAATGGCTAATTTTTGCAAGTGGATCATCAAGTCTTTCTTTCAAGTCACCTCTAAGCTGACTTCACCCTCCAAGCTTGTGTTTACCCGCTGAGCATGTTAACCCTTCGCACCATTCAGGAACTGGAGAATAGAACCATTGTCCTTGCGTCGATTCTAACTCACAGCAAGCCTGGAAGACAGAAGAGTGTGTCCAAGGCTGTACTGTTTGCAGAAGGGAGTTGCCACATTTCTCCTCCATGGATCCACCAGTAATTTTCGAAAGACAGCTATCTTAGCCTCTGAGTTTTGAATAGCTGCACTACGAGGGCTCTTTTCTATGTTAGGATCGTTTGGGTTTTTTGTTTTTTTTTTTAATATATGAAGGAAATCCCTGTACTAATGTGTTCCTATATTACAGATCTTCGAGTTAAAACCAGTGATTTGGAAATCTGCATATTACTCATTTCAAATGTTCAAAATGGCATCATATTGTTTTCTGAATTTGTCCTAAGGTATTGAATAATCACTGCAGTAAAAACACGATTAGACAAGAATGCTGACATCAATAAAAAATAATGATCTCTCATGTAGCTTGTTAAGTGATGGCCTTCTGTCTTAATTTTAACCCTTCACAACAACAACAGCAACAACAAAAGCAAGCAAGCGAGCAAAGTTTAAAAAAAAATAAGGCCACGAAAAATGTTTCCTTAGTGAAACAAAAGTTCTGTGCTAATGGTTCTGACAATAATAACCTAACACACTAGGAACCTGCCTTGTTATTAAATCCATTCTTCCATTCACATATGCTGCCTGTATCTGAGTCATTGTGTTTGTTGTTTTTGAAAAATACCCGAACTCTTATCTTTACTTAGAAGAACCGAACGTTGAGCTGTATTTCCTCAAAGGGAACGCTCTAATGAAAAAGTTGGTGCAATACTTACTCAAATATGGTGGTTTGTAAGGCGCTCGTGTATTAGACAGGAGTCCATCCAGATCCTTCCTCTCCAGAGTGCTGTGAAGGGCCTTCTCTTTGCCAAAGGTGGAGAAGGACCGCTCTGCTCCAGGCTGGGCTTCTGGAGTTTCAAACACCTCGGTGTCTGGAACAGAGTCCATGCCCGGAACATGAAGATTGCTGCGGTAATCAGCTGCCTGACGTCCGTCCGAAGGGACGAAAGAAGGCATCCAGCAGCGATCTGAGTGGCCCAGGGCCTTACATTCCTCCGTGCAGTTGGAGAAGAGATCCATACCTGGTAGGAGAACAAAAGGAGACTACAGGTACAGGCTTCCAGAGCACGGCCAGTTACTTGGAGCTGAAAGAGTAAAAAGCACACTTAGTGCCATCGAGGCGACTCCGTTGCGGCCCAATCGGACAGGAACCACCGCCCTTGAGGGTTTCTGAGACTGAAACACTTTGGGGAGTAGAAGTGGCTGATGGTTTCAAACCGCTGACCTTACACCGTTAGCAATTCAGCACATAACCACTATGCCACAACAGGTCACCAAAAAAGGGTGGTGAGGGAAGGTGTTTGAATTTGAACGGATAGAAACAAAACATTGGTATATGATTTTGTTTATGACTTAAAAAAGGGTCTGCAAATGACAAGGCTGACTTTTCCTGCCAGAGAGGCAGTGCTCTGAAACTACGCAGAGTTTTGAAAAGAAATGTTTGAGGTCTATTATTTAAGTAACTAAGAAGTCATGAGTAGAAGGATGGATATTTCTTAGAATATCTTGCTGACTTCATACATAGAGAAAAAATAATTCAAGGTAAGACCTTCTTACGTCGTCATCTATAAGGACAATTCAACCGCTTTCTCTTTCCCAGAGTCAAAAATAGGTCCAGCACTGTAACAATGATATTTAGATTATGAAACGGGATGTGAAACAAAATGAAAATCAACAGCAAAGTGTCATAAACCTTAGTAAACAAGTAAATAACAAGAATGAATAAGATTTATGCATAGAAAACAACGTGCTTTTCTAGAATCTTAGGAAATGACCTCTTATAAGGTTTTCTCAATGACTCTCTGGTGCTCCGTATCACTGCAAACCACTTATTATGTACCACTCACTGTAGATAAACCCAGAACAAATGGCTGTAATTAGTGAAACTAAGGAAACCAAGTGTCGAGTGAATCAGATGCAGATACTATTGATAAATACCTTAGTACTTGTATTATATTGGAAAACACTTGTCACAGTCAACACAGAAATATTTGCTTACTAATCTGCTAATACCAAGATTACAAATGACAACTCAAAATGCCATTGTCTTCCTTAGATTGACAAGACTACTAAATGCTATCTGATTGCAACTCAAAAAATCTATTTCAGTTTTGTAAAGAAGGTTTTGTAATTACCAAACACTACAAAGTACTACCCGATGTTCATTTTTACATTTAGTACTATGCAGAAAAGCTAGCATACTCATCGATGAAAGAAAGCTTTTAATGTTTTTCTTTTTTTCAGGATGAAGTAATATTTGTTGAATGTGATTTAGAGAAAGAACAATCTGAACATGGTTAATCAGTACAGAAGAAGCCCTTATAGTACAGGCTATCTATTCTGGAAACCTAAGAGTTTTTCTTTTTTTTTAGCAAACAGAATAAGCTTTATTTGATAAGAATAATTGATGTTTCATCTACAAATATGATGACATGAGCTCTTGAAAAATGTTTGGTGTTCAAATTCCTACTCTGTCATTCTTTGAATTATGTGCATATATTTGTTAGTGTCTATAGATGAAACATAAAGAAAATACATTTTTAATATTGTGAACATTCCAGATCATGAACATATTTTGGAGTTAAGAACAGTTAATTAAATATTTTTTTCTATTTTTTAATTGTTTTATTAGAGGCTCATACAACTCTTATCACAATCCATACATACATCAATTGTGTAAAGCACATTTGTACATTCATTACCCTCATCATTCTCAAAATATTTGCTCTCCACTAAGCCCCTGGCATCAGCTCCTAATTTTTCCCCTCCCTCCCTACTCCTCCTCCCTCATGAGCCCTTGATCATTTATAAATTATTATTTTGTCATATCTTGCCCTGTCCAACATCTCCCTTCACCCACTCTTTGGCTGTCCGTCCCCCAGGGAGGAGGTCACATGTAGATCCTTGTAATCGGTTCCCCCTTAATCTTTCTATAATTTTTTAATCTTTGTTTATAATGACTCAAAAACTAAACTGTGTATAATGCCAAGTATGACTTGGATTAGAATATTCTATTGATAATTGCCATGTGTAAGCCTGGAAAGAAATTTCTGATCAGTGAGCTCGTTAGGAATATAAACATGACCTGAAACTGGGATTAAGAAATCAGACTGGAAACAGCATGTAAATCATGCAAATGTTTCACTAGACAGAGAGAAGCTCAGTCATTTATCCTATATTTGCATGACGATACATACAGTAAAAGAGAACAGAGAGTGTCTCTAACACACATTTATTGTGTGTCTTGATAGGGAGATGTAGAACCAGAGAGATTGTCATTTGAACACATGATACTATAAATGCTCCCTATTTAAAGTCTGTTGATGGGCGGAGGGGATTGTTGATAGATGAAGTTGACTTTATTTGAGATATTTTTATGAATGTTAATTGTTTTCCACTTAAATTTAAATTATGGAGTTCAAATAAAAGTGTACTATTGGGCCCTGCTGAAGATGGATATGAGTACAAATTTTGGAATTAATATAATTTTCCTTAAAGATTTGATGATAATATTTTAAACAGTTACACCAGATCATATACAATCTCGCACATCATTTTGTACTAAACCCAAATTCTTTTTTAATTTAATATGATAATATCACACAGGAAAATTATTAATAAACTTTTATCTGAACGTTAATATTACAATGCTGTTCCACTTGTTTTTCTAGGTCATTTATATTCATGTGTGCACGTTTCCTTTTCTCCCTATGAGGACTTTCTGCCATCACTGATTACTAGAAGTGAGTTGAAATTGCCTTAAAATTGGTAATGAAGTTCTTTTGAGTTGAGAATCTATCGGACTATATATATCTTTGTACATATATGTGTATACAACTATGTGTGTGTATATATCTATATAATGTACATACCAACAAAAATGAGAAATATGTTAAATTTTCTCGCTGGAGAAGCAGTGTAAATTGACATAAAAAAATTTAAAAGAACAAAACTTGTAAATAATGTTCTTTATGCACTTACAAATTTTGTTTTTTAAAAAGGAATTACTACAGTAATAATATACAGTTTAATATTTATAATCTAGGAAAATCTATAGAGCATTGGCAGCAGTGGATTTAGTGGGTTTTATAAAAGAAGAATCATAAGTAAGATGGCTTAAACTGTGCATGAGCCTTTTTGATCCATTTTACTGATTTTTTAAAAATGCACCTATTTCTCATGACGAAATTTCAGAAAACCGGAAAATGTTAGAAAACATAACATGGATATTAAATCAGTAATTTTCTAATAAGTTAACAGAAAACAGGTTATGAAGTCGTTCATGTAGTTGGAAATCAACCATTTATCCCATTAACTCTTCATCACAGGCACTACTAAAAATGTTTTCTCTGTTATCACCTATGACATATCTTATTAAGCATATTACCTTATTTAGAAAATATAGGCATTCCCTGGGTTTAAACAAAATCTGTTTCTAAGTGTGTCTTTAGTCTAAGTAAATAGTCAAGTCATTTTTTTCCTAAGCAAAAAACAAAAACAAAACATTCAAGTCCAATCTGTAGGTAAGTCAGAACAGGTGCCTGTAGTTCTTATGCTGCCTATTTTAGTGCAAGAAACGGCTCAAATTCTTCAATGATTTCAAAGCTGCACATGTGGCCAATGCAGGTGATTGTACTAGCTAATTTGTTGCCAGTAGGGATCTACTCTATCATTTTATAGTGAGGTCGAATGCACGTAACATTTAAGTTAAAGGAGAACTATGTTGTAAGTCTAACACTGACTGCAAGCAGAAATCTGTCTGGTTGAGATACATGAGTGAGTACATATGCACAGGGACATCAGATAATACAGTACTTGCCACATTGCTCATGCTGTGTTTAAATCGCTCAATTGAAGGCCCAAGCGAAAATAATTTTAACTTGTGTTCTTTGCACAGAGCTAGAAAAATAAGATCCAAACCTTGCTTCTGAAATGTTAGCACTTTCTAAGAAATGCTTCAGCATATATATATATATATATGTATTTGTGTGTGTGTGTGTGTGTGTAACTTGCAATCTTTTTCCATAGTTTTTTTGTTTTGTTTTCAGAAATAGTCTGCTTTGAAAGGAATGACAGCAGACGTGATACCCTCCTGGAATGCAAATATATATTTAGACAAATTTTAAAATACATATTTCAGCTAGCAAGTAGTTTGCCCCTTCGAGTCAGAGACAATATGAACAAAGAGTTCTTTCAAAACTATTAGGATTGCATTCAATCTGTGCTTTTTTCTAATGAATGCCACACTAAATTAAGTGTATTTTTCTGATGCAACAACAGTTCATAAAACATGATAAAATAAATTTAAGGAAATTATCACTATGTTTTGAAGAAATATCAATTTTTCCCTTTAACTACTTAACAGTGGACTACTAAGAGATATAATTGTAACCACAAAAATTGTCATAACCCTTAAGAAAATATTTTGTGCAAAAATATCAAGATTATTCACTAATAAAATAATCAAAACATGTAAAAAAGTCAACATTTTCTCCCTGGAAACCTTCATATTCTTACATTTTTCTTCACTTTCCCTCAATGTTTTGCCAGATTCTTTCCCCAATTATAAATATCTCCACATAATAAAATTGTAGTTCAGATTTTCACCCGAAACTTGTAGAAGCTTTTTCAAACATTAGTGTATCTTTTGAAGTGCTGGTGGTGGAGTGGGTTGAGGATTTGGCTGCTGATGGCAAGGTCAGCAGTTTGAATCCAACAACAGCTGCATGGGAGAAAGATGAGGCTTTTGACTTCTGTAAAGATTTACAGCATCATAACCCCAAAGTGGCACTTCTACCCTGTCCTATTTCATTTCTCCAAGTTGGAATATACGTATTGGCAGTGAATTTGGCTGGTGTTATTTTACATGTAAACTCAGAAGCCGTATCGAATTTTTTTGTTCAAGGTGGGGAAAGAGAAGTTTATATTTTATGCTCAAACCAAGGATTTTCTATGGCACGAGTGCAATGGCTTGAATATGCTTTATCTACTAATTTGAGAATGCTGGTAATTCCTCTCATTTTGTGATTGAATTTATAGCTGTAATTTAACCATATGTATGACATGTAAATGCCATAATAACGAGTAAATAATTAAACACATTTAGGAACTAAATTCTCGGGTTAGCTGAAAGAAAAATGTGTATGGAGAAAAACTAGAAAAATTTCAGTTAAATTCTATTGAGTAAAATAATAATAATTGAATCATTTATTAGAGCTTTCATTTTTCAGCACTAAAATATCAATGTATAGAAAATGGATTTATAAGTAAGCTCATTAATCTTCACATTGTACATACTTAACAAACGGAAAAAATCATTTGTTCGTAGTAAATAGAATTACTTTGATATACCTCCACAAATATTTAAAATGTTTATGAATGTGCAACTATGTTTATATTCAGTAATGGTTTGTGTATTTAGAAAAGGAAATCTATAATTCAATGGCGTAACTTTAAAATTCTGAATTCCACAAAAGAAACGAAATTGAGGACATTTTAATTTAAAGTCCACTCTCACTTTCTTAGCAAACTTTAGCTCCGGTTAATCAAGTTTTCCTCTTGTGATAATTTATGCATGTATATAACACATCTCCTTGGACTTCTGCCACATTTAATCAATATATCAATAGTGTATAAAGAGAAAGTGCCAAAGCGCAGTGATCAGGCCGAAGAATTTTACACATGGAGCCAGGTGAATTGGAAAACTGAGAACGCTTATGTAATTCTCTCTGCAGCTGGCTCCATGTTTAAAGCCCTTCTAAGAGCAGAACTGGTGACTTTAAATGGCTTAAAAATGAGGAGAGTAAGGGCAGGGGGTGGGGAATAAAAATAAAACTATTCATTGATAAACAAATAGAAGGCATAGCTAAATAAATGGCTAACAAGTGATGCTAACAAAGAAGCAAGTGAAAACAGAGAGACTGTTAGGAAGTTTAAATAGGTGAAACACTAGCCAAACAGTATACATGTTTACAATGTAGTATGGGTAGTAGGTTTAAGGCAAGATAGTATTCAGAAAAATACCAATATGTTTCCAATGTTCATTACTCTCCACCTTGCTAAGCTGTCAATTCCCCACTACCTAATATCTAGCTAAGTGAAATCTGCTAATTACTACAATTCCCTCCCCACTTGAAAACAAATGTTTTCAGTAATATTTCCCAAAGATGTTGATTTGGAAAATCATTTTTACCTGACCTTATGAAGAAAAAACCTAGATTTCTGTACCATTTTATTCAAAATGGGCAATACTTTATGGAATTATTCTAGCTACCGGGTGTGTGTTTATAGTACAAAACAGCAGTCTAGATTGAAAAAAATCCTTAAGTAAATGTACTTTAATTCTGTATATTTAGGGTTTTTACTGAAAAATACAACATTTCAAAAGTCCTTTTACAATAAAATTAGACATACTAAATTTGATTGCAATTCAGCACACAAAAGTGCAATTACTTCTAAATATAAGTGTATTATTACATCCCTCAAACAGCTATTATTGTACTCAGTATGTGTAGCTACCCTGTAACTGCTAATTAAATGCATAAATGGATTAGTAATTCTGTAATACTTTTAGAGGTTGGAGAATTTAAAGATAGTCAAGGTTGTTTTTAAAAAATTTTTATAAATAAAAAATGCAAACTGTCCTTTTATAATGTTTTCCAGAAAGACACATTCTAGCATTTTGTTTCTTTGAAATGCTTTGACATCTCCAATAGGTTGAAAGAAACATCATTAGAGCAGTAATTTGAGTGCCTGGAAGAGAAAGTAGGTATGGGGAGACCCTTGAATAAAATTTATTCCCACATATCTTTCAAATTTAGTCCTTTTTGCTAATGTTTATTTATTTCTCTTCATTTGGTTGGGGTATTACCATTCACTATGTCTAGGGGACCAAACTAATTGAAATGTTCAAAGAGATTGTAGTGCGACAGAAAAGCAAAGGGGTGTGGGGTGGTCAAGGATATATGTATTAAGCATTTTGTTTTAAAGTTGAAAGGCTGGGTGAGAAATTAGAATTTCAGGGAGAAAAGAAGAGTAATGAGCAATTCAAAATGTACAGCTTTTAAAAGATCACAATAAATCATATGCCATATATAGGCCAAAAATGAAAGGGACTTTGTACTCAAATATAAACTTCTGGCAAGATCTGGTTTGTTGTCAGGTTCTCAGACACTAAATAGATGCTCTGTTCACTTAGCGTGAAGGCCCGCAAGGGGCAGAGACCTCCGGGGATTCTTGGCAGTTCTCAAGTCTCATTAGGTCTGCATATTAATGACTTGCAGCAATATAAAGAGACCCTTGAACAACCTTTTTTCCCCTTCCTCCTGCCTGGGTTTCCCAAGGCTAAGGGCCGCCGCAGACACCGCACACATTAGCCAAGTGAGAGGCTTACAGCAACCACTGCTGCCAGGAGACCATGGGGCATACACTGCCCTTTGACACACTGCCTCAGCACCATTCACACATCCACTGAGTGTGTTAAGGAATGGGTGTTCTTGAGGACCAAGGCTACCTTGCAAAAGAGGGGACTATCGCTACAGTTATATCATTATCCAAAGTAGAGGCCAAATCTCAAGGGAGCTAAGTTCAGCCCAAAGACAATGCAGGGATGGATATGCTTAGAAGTTACAAAAAGCTTACTTGCCTTTCCAGGTCAGTGTGTGTCATATAAAAACAAAATTAATAGAATAAGTAAATATGAAAAACAAGGTATGCATTTTATTTCCTTGAAATGTTTCATTGTAGTATCAGAATTATAAGGACAAAATAAAATCTAAAGGCAAAATAATATAGAAATGATTTGGTAAAATTAAATAAATTTAAAAGTAAAATCAGCTAATGTAAAACTTCAATATCACATTGCATCTTGATGCACACAAGTTCAACTTTTGCCAGGTAATAGACCTTTGTGAAAATATGAGGAAACCTAGAACCTTTCAGAAACTATATATGATCATATGCTTGCTTATTACCCTGAAAACCAAGGATCCAAAATTAGAAATACAGCTTTCAACCTATTTTTGACTTTTAATTGCCATCCTTTCTCACATTCTATTCAATACCGCTGGAATACAAAATGGAATGCTCTGGAAGGCAAGAGATTTGAATTTATGCTCTTGTGACCTTGTACAGGTCAATCAATTTTATTCATCTTCAGTTACCTCATCCTTACACAAGGCTAATAATACCTTAATTGACTAACTCGGGTTGGAACAGGTGAACGTCCTGTGGCTCTTTTTTAGCAGTATAATCCCTTAAAGGGCACTGCATCAAGAAAAAACATTCCATCCTCTAACATATTGATGTCTGTCTTCATCTCTCCAACGAAAGAAAGTTGATCAGTGAATCTTTAAAAATGCTCTTGGAAATGTACCTGCATCGGAAGTTACCATCTCTCTGTAACACTACCAGAACATTACCTAGAACATTATTCTTGTAAGATTCCTCCTCTTACTCTTAACAAAAGTTAACAGCATTTCGGTTGCCTTTTGATCACACTCACACTTACCAGCTGACTGGCCTCGGTTGGTGGCATCGTGATCACTATCACCCTGCTCACTGTCTCCATGACCACTGTCTTTAGAGCTTACTATGTCAGCTTCCTGGAATGCAGAACTAGAAGTACAAAAATGTGAATATTAGAATCAAAATAGAGGAAACACAGAAAACGTTCTTCTGCCACCACATGGTCACAGATAGTGCTGCATGCATAGACCTCCTGGTTGGCTTTATTTCTGCTTAAAGCTGGTTTTTATAGCCTAAACCAAGCTCTTCAAAATTGAGCATTAACAGTCACTTTGAATGCTGACTGCATATAATGTTTAGGAATTATTCTATGAGGGGGTCTAGGTTTGTGTTAATATCATTATCATAAAACAGATGTGAGCATACATCTGAAAAAGTAAGGAAGAATATTAGAGGCAGTGGAGAAGTGTAAACTGACAAAATATTTCATATTTTGGTCAATTGTAAAAAAATGAGACACATCATATACTTTAATGTGTTTTCAAGTAAAATTAACATGACCAAAAGTGAAAGCCTGCCCTTATCAGAATGTGTTTATATTTGGATATCTGATAATGTACCTGCTTTGTGCTTTTACTAGGTAGTACAATGTCCATACTACAAACTATGAAAAAAGTTCATACCTGTTAACTCGCCGAGGTCTGTCAACTAGATAGCTGAGCTCTGCTCGCTGGTGTTTAGTCTAGGAAAGAAAATAAATCAATCAAGAGTATTTGAATAGTGAGGGTTTAACTAAGTCTGATCCTGAGATTAGGTATGAGAACTAGTTTAAGTAATTGTGTTTATCCTTACAAGTTTCCAATGATTTTGGGGTGAGGGAGATATGCAGACACTTGCAAAGAAAGTTGAATATATTTCTTTTTACTCATTTGGAAAGGGAAAAACAACAACAACAACATTTTTAAATTGAAGACTAAAGGGTGACTTTAGGTGTGTGTGTGTCTGTGTGTGTTTTTTAAGAAGAGAATACAAAGGGCCTTATAACCCTCCAAACTATTGTCTCTAATGGAGTCACCCTAGGTGTGTGCAGTCTTAATATTCTAAAAAAGTGTTTAAGTGTACACTGATTAACACAAGGAAAACAGCACGCTCAATAAGAAAATAAGTTTGGATATTTCATGGAATTATTTTGTTGTTTATTTTCAAAAGGTGTTTAAGATACAAATGAGCTGTACAAATATTCATGAGTCAATAATGTCTGATATTCAAATAAATAAGATAACCTACCAAGAAGAGTTCATAATTTTCACCCAATTCTTTCCCCTCCAAAAGCCCTCTGCAGTCTCCTCCTCCCTCCACCACCCACAAACCTCTTCTAAACCCAACTTATTTTTTACATAAATCAACTTTATTCTCCACCCTCCTCCAACTTTGCCACTTCTCCACCTTGTAGAGATCGGAATTGACAAGCCAAATTATTGGATGAAGAAAGCCAGCAGCAGAGATTTATCAAAAAACAGTGGCAAGAAGGCGATTATTTGGATAGAAGATATATTTAAGACAACAATTGTTTAAGCCTTTTGTTAGTTTACTCTTACAGGGGTTTGTGCCAAAGCAACTTCATTCAAATTCACACTGTGTGGCCGTTCAGCTTCAAGAGCCCCTGCAAACGCTGTCCAGAGCAGAACTGAAGGCTTTTCTGCAGCCGAGTTTAGAGGACAAGGATCTGGTAACTCATTCACTAAAACATGCATTCGCATTTAGACAACTGCGCAAAGTTAAACAGTCTATAGCTTACTTTTACACGCGACTGAAAGCATCGATAAACAACGCAAAATAGAATTAACTTTATTAATGTCTGGGACAGACCAAAGGGACAAAATCTTTGCCAGTGCTAAAAGTCCCTCCTCCGCACTCTCCCGCCCTCTTGCTCTCCCCACTTCATGCCAAGCTTTCTGAGAAGGGAAAGGACCAGGAGGAGACTTGGATATTAAAAGAGAGGAGAGAGTTCAAGGTGGCAAAGCACCAAGGAGAGGGGTGGGGGTGGGGATGAAGATAAATGTGGAAGTGGGGAACGCAGAAGAATAGAAAGAACACAAGGTTAGGTTACACTTGAAGGAGTGGGAGAGGGTGATTTCCCCCCTGCCCCACGACGGTACAAATAAGTTAATAATCTAAAAATAAATACACAGTGCACCAGAGATACAAGGGCCGGGCTAGAGGAGGCTCTCAGATGGAGGAGATGAGAGATGGTGGTCCTTTCGCTTCAGCCTTACCTCGTTGGACAAAATGCTTCCATTGGAGATGATGTCGGGCTGCTGGTCGCTGTAGCCAGTGACGATAGCCCCGCAGGGGTTGTGCTCAGTGTCCGTGCTCCGAGAGGGGCTGCAGGGCTTAAGGAACATCAGGTCGGTCTTGGCGGACTCTGGGGTCAAGCAGACCTGGTAGCAGTAATTCTGGTTGTGGTGGTGAGAGCCAAAGCCCCCGGACTCCTCTACAGGCACCTGGGCTGGGTTGCTGGGTACGTTGGAGCTTTGGACCAGCATAATGTCAGACTTGCTGAGTTTCTTTTTGCGAGCCCGGGCTTGGCGGCCACAGCAGGTGGAGCCCGCACCGCCACAGCAGCAGCAGCACAGGCAGCAATCGCTGGCCAGACACGTGTAGATGTTGAGCTTCTTCTCTTTTTGGCAACGCACAGCCAGCACTATCATGGCCAGCAGAAAGATGAAGGAGACGGAGCCCAGGGCGATGATGAGGATGAGAGTGAGGTCCAGTGAGGTCTCCCCACCACCTGAGCGGCTGGGGCGTTGATGCTCCCCTGACCCCCCACCTCCGCCCCCGCCCCCTCCCTGGGGTTCCACCGCGCCATCCACTAGCTGTACTACCAGAGAGGCTGTGGAGGACAGGGGCGGCTGTCCGTGGTCGCGCACCTCGATAACCAGCTCGAAAGGCCGCTGGGGGTCGCGCTTGGCCGGCACCCGGCGAGCGGTGCGGAGCTCCCCGGTGCGCCAGTCCATGCGGAAGAGGTTCATTTCGTTGCCTCGCACGATGCTGTAGGTGAGCCGGGCGTTCTCACCGTCATCTGCGTCCACCGCGGCCACGCGAGTGAGAAGGTAACCCGGCTCTGCAGAGCGGGGCAGCACCTCGCGCGCCGGAGTCCCGTTGCGCCCCGGCAGGGGCGCCACTATGGTAGGAGCATTGTCGTTCTGGTCCACGATGAGGATGTTGACCGTGGCATTGCCCGCCAGCGCCTGGGGGCTGCCGGCGTCCCTGGCTTCCACCTGAAAGCTGAAGTCCTTGAGCTGCTCATAATCGAAGGAGCGCAGGGCGTACAAGTAGCCGTTCTCAGAGTTGATGGACACGTAGGTGAAGACGCTCATGCCCTGGATCTGGCACTCGAGGATGGAGTAGGCGAGCTGGGCGTTGGCGCCCTCGTCTCGGTCGGTGGCGCTCACCGCATAAATGTAGGCGCCCGGCACGTTATTCTCGGTCACATACACGTCGTAGACCGGCTGGCTGAAGCGCGGCGCGTTGTCGTTCACATCTGACACTTGCACCTGAATTGACTTACTGGTGGAGAGCGCTGGCTCGCCGCGGTCCCGGGCCACTACGGTCAGGGTGTAGGAGTCCCCCGCTTCTCGGTCCAGGGGGGCCTCGGTCACGATGGTGTAGTAGTTTTTGAAGGAAGACTTGAGGCGGAACGGCACGTCCCCCAGCAGCTCACACTGCACCTGCCCATTCTCCTCGGAGTCGCGGTCGGTCACGCTGAACAGGGCCACCACCGTGCCGGGCGCGGCGCCCTCGCTCACCGCCTCCTTCACGGTGCTGAAGCTGATCTCGGGCGCGTTGTCGTTCGCATCGAGGACCCTCACCAGCACCTTGCAGTGCGCGGGCACAGCGTTCGGGCCCAGGTCCTTGGCTTGCACGTACACTTGGTACACCGGGCTCTCCTCATAGTCCAGCTCGCCGCTCACCTCCAGCCGGCCGGTGCGCGGGGACAGCCCGAAGAGCTCGCGCGCCCGGGGCGAGATGTGGCTGCTGAAGGAGTACACGACCTCGCCGTTTTGGCCCTCGTCTGGGTCTGTGGCGTTGAGTTGGATCACTAGCGTTCCCGGGGGCGAATTTTCGGGGAGGGACACAGTGTAGACGGGCTGGTCGAAGGCGGGCACATTGTCGTTGGAGTCCAGCACTCGGATGGTGAGGAGGGCCGTGCCGGTGCGCTGCTGCTGGGGGGGCAGGCCCCCTCCCCCACCGCCGGCTCCAGCTCCTTCTCCTCCTCCTCCTCCTCCCCCGTCCACCGCGGTCAGCACGTAGCGGTGCACCGCTTGCTGCTCACGGTCCAAGGGCTTCTCCAACACGAGCTCCGCAAATCGGTTGCCATCCCCCTGGGTCTGCACGTCCAGGGAGAAGTAGCTGTTCGGGGTGATCTCGTAGTCGCGTAGCGAGTTAGTGCCCACGTCTGGGTCGAATGCGCTCTCCAAGGGGAAGCGGGTGCCTGGCGTGGCGCTCTCAGAGATCTCCACTGTCAAGTCCGTCTCCGGGAAGGAGGGGGGGTTGTCGTTGATGTCTAAGACCTCGATCTCCACTCGGAACAGCTCCAGGGGGTTCTCCAGGAAGACCTCTAGGTGCAGGACGCAAGAGGGGCTCTGCTTACAGATTTGCTCGCGGTCGATCTTCTCATTCACGTACAGCACCCCGGTCTCCAGGTTGAGGTCCAAGTAAGGGGTCCGTGATTTGGGCACTGTTTGAAACCTGCGAGCGGAAAGTTTTGTAATGTCCAAACCCAGATCTTCAGCGATATTCCCCACGAAAGTGCCATGTTCCTGCTCCTCCTGGACCGTATAGTGAAGCTGGGAAAAGACTCCCTCCACCATCCAGAGCAAGGCAAAGAATAATAGCACAATCATCTCCAAAGGGAAAGAAAGCAGTTTCCCCGCAGCCAGTCAGCCACCCAGTCACCTCCCCCACCACCACGGGGAAAAAAAAATCTCTCCAAAAATTTTTAATAAAAAGCCAAAACACCCCCCCTAAAAAAGTGCGCTACTTTGGGGGGGGGGGCTCCTGTGGCTTTCTGTTGTTAAAAATCTTATTCCTTTTGCTTCATTTTAGGGTTTCCCCCAATCCAGCCTCATTTTTCAATCTTAGCGCAGGAAGGGTGACAGGCGTCCCCTTTCCTCATCTGTAATCTTCCCACTGACCAATTGATAAAATAATATTACAATAGTCAGCGTCCTTTATTCCGACGATCTTGGCGCAACGCAGCGCTGGCAAATCCCAAGGAGGAAATTTTGATATTTCAAGACTGTCCTCGGTTTGTCTTCTTGCTGATGGGAGGAGGAAAAGAAAGAGGAGGAGGAGGAAGATGAAGAGGAATAGGAGAAGGAAGAGGAGCTGCTGTTGGCACCGTTGAACATGCCTCTTAATGTCAACGGCTGGCCAATGCAAAAGGGCTTAAAAACAGCGAGAGAATGTTGTGTCGGAAAAGCAGCGAATGGCTCTGCAGTATAAAACTTTCATTCTCTTCGTATCGTCGGATGGACGTCCTTCTTGGCATTTTTTCCTCTTTCTCTCTATTTGTATTTTTTGGCTTTCATGGTCTTGTCTTTCCCCGTCCTCATCTCCGCCGTCATTTGCCTCTGTTAGTATGATAAGCAGTTTCTTTTCTGTTGCTTTCCTTCACAAGCCGCTTTCCCTCTAATCTGTCTTTCCTTTCTAGTCTCCCCTTCCCTCCTCTTGCTTCAGCCTCAGAGCCTGTGATCTCCGCTAGCAGTTTCTGAGCTCCGAGCGCTCCGCTACTCTGTTTTTGCGCAGCGCCCTCGTTCTGCCAACCAATCGTTAACGAGCACCACCCACCGCGCCACTGTTGATTGGGCAATGTGGTTGTCAAACAGGAGCGTCAGGCAGCAGCCAGGCGGGGCGGGGCCGAGCCGGCGCCTAGGCGACCCGGGTGAGTGTGAGTGTGAGAGCGAGAACAGCCCGGCAGGTCCCGAGGTGCTAGCTGGGGACTGTGCCGCGGAAAGTTCCCAGTCCCCAGCCGCAGGTAATGGGCAGGGAATCGAGAGGTTCCCCTGCTTGCATCAGCAAATGCGAAAACATAATAGCAACAACAGTCGTGTGGTCTCCCAGGAGCGGGGTTTCCAATGATGCTAACATTCTCTTTCCTTTAAGGTATTTCCCTCTTCCGGATCGTGGAAATAAACAACCCCGGGGAGTGGGGCAGGGGTAGGGGGTAGTAGGGGACGAGGATGGAGTTGCAGCGGGGCCACTAATGGACCGGGGTTACTTCATTAAGAGACTCTGACTGAAGTTGCTAGGACATTGAAAAAATGGATGTGCCAAAATAAGCCTGAGGATCAGAAGGGGCTGCGTGGAAAGCCGTTGCGGTGGGAACAGAGATGGGTGCTAAAAAGCTGAGGGACTCCCGCCAATGGATGTGTGTCGCAGCTCCTATAGGGTTAATGTGCCAGATGTGCCTTTTCCTTCCACAAATGCATAGTCACAGCATTTCTGCCCAATAGATTAACTCTCTTGGAGACCGAGCTTCGCGGTGAGAGCGCTTTGATAAGTGGCAGAGGAAGAGTTGCCTTTGAGCAGCCGCCTTCCAGCCCGCCATCCTAGCGCCAGGCTTGCCAGCCCGGGGCGGGCACCGCGCGCCGCCTGGCGCTGTGAGGCGCCTATGATATCCTTGCGCGTCGTGCGGCCAAGTGGGACACCGCGGCGGCGGAGGCTGGGGGGGCGGGCGCGTATTTTCTGCTTTTTCTAAATCTTTAAATGCCACCACTGCCCCCGCGCCCCCAAAGCTAAATGGAGGCACCGATTCCTCCCGAGACCAGGGTCAGGATCCTGAAGCCAGGACGGCCGGGCGGCCGCGGCCGCGGCCGCGGGTGGGGCGGGGGATTCGTATTCGGGAAGTGCGCACAAGCAGTGCACAAGGGGAGCTCACGTATGTAGCTACGGATGCCAGTGAACATATTTGCACATGGATGTTGCGCACATCCGCCTCCCCTGGCCCCACGCGCAGTGCAAACCCCAAGCGAGCCTTTCCCGATCCCTCAGGGTGGGCTTGGAGGCCTCCAAGTGCCTACTCTGGAGGGGCCCAGCAACGGTGTGTGTTCACGCACCCCGTGCTTGTTCCCTTAACGTGTAGTCCCGAACTCTTCCGCTCTAAAGAATGTTTCAATCCCTATCCCCCAAGAAAAGACAGCACATTTCCTATTCATTCATAGGCTGTTCGAACGGACCGGGTGGTTTCTGTACGAAAGCAGTCCCTGTTTATTCTTTTCCATGTGGCAAAAGACAGGAAGGTCCCTTGTGACTTCCCGGTAATGAGCGCCCCCAGAGTAACACTGCCACAACCTGCAGGGAATAGAAAGTCGTTTCCCTGACCCCGGTACGTGGCCCTTCCCTCCGCTCCGGGGATAAAGAGTGTTTGGTGGGCTGCTTGTAGACGGAGGCAAGCCCTGCGAGTGCCCTGAGTGATTTCTGCTCCCCACCCCCACCCCCCGCCGGGCTCTATCATGGAGATGGGTACTGACTGAGCGCTTAGAAAGAAGGATGCCAGCAAAAATGGCTAATCCTTTTCCAGCTGCAGTAAATTGACAACCGGCCAAAGCCAAGTGAAAACCGCTGCAGTTAAAAGACTTCAACATCACGTCTGCGCCTGAGAATGGAGCAGCAGTTTATAAAAGAACCTGTGGATCAATGAAAAGGAGATTATAGTGTGTCTGAATATTAATACGGCATTGCATCTGCACTTTACTTTACGCCCCTCCCCCTTTCTGTTTCTTCAGGTTTGAAATGAAATGTTTTGAGCTCTTCAAATGGACTCATCCGAATCCAGGAGCTTTTTAAAAATAACGGTAATTTTCTAATGTGTTCATTTGTATGACCGGAATATTTGTGTGCTTGTGTATGTGTGTGTGTGCGTGTGTGCACACGCGCGCGCGCGCGCGCGTTCCTGTTTGCGTGTGAGAGACATGCGGCTGAATGACAATGCAGATCCAGAAATTGTTTGGGAAAGGATATTTCTAATCGAGAAATGTAGATGAAGTTCAGCTGACTTGGGGAGGTCTTTGAAACAGAGAGCTTCTAGAGGCAGACGCGAGAACAAGGAGAGATGGCCAGATTTGCCTGTAAATAATCGCTACATCCACTATAACATTCGAGCTGCATTTTTTCTTTCTTTCTTTTTTTTTTTTTTGGTAGAAGATGTTGAATGGGAATCTCTCTGCAAACGTGGGTTGCAGGCGTCTCCTAGCGGCGAAAACAGCACAGGGCAAGCGAGAGGATTTTGCTTCAGAGCTCGCTCGGCAAGGCTTGCTGGTAGCAGACTCACTGGGATTTCTTGAGTCCCTAGGCTAGCGGCCCCGCCAAGGACGCCCATTCCAAATCCTCTAGCGGTTTAGCACCTCTGACTTCCAGTCTCCTGGGCGCCATCCTAGGGCTCAAGGTGTCAGTGGGCTCTTCAGGGGAGCACAGACTCATACCTGGTCTCGACCTCCCGCTAGGAAGCTCCAGCCAAAGGCAATTGGCAAGTGCATTTTGTTTGGAGCCAAGATTCAGATATTGGCATTTGTAGCCTTTTCTGTCTTCTTCCTCTGGAGCCATTGAAACAACCCCAAGTCGTCCTGCCCCAACCAAACACAAAACTTCAGACTTGCTTTTAAAAGCTGTCTCTTAAATGTAATGGGTCTACGGGTGCTTTCTACCCCACTGTGCTGTTGAAGCAGATTTTTCTCCTCCTTCCTTTTCTGCTGCCTTTTCACTCTCCCACCAGCCACCCGAATTCAGTGAGGCCTTGCTTACAAGAAGAAAAGCTTCCTCTTTGAAGTGAAGAATACAAGGCACATGTGCCCACCTCCCCATCATTACAGTCAAGGGAAGGAAGAAGCAATCCCTAGCACCTCTGAGAATCCACCTAAGCCAAAACAAACTGTTTCCTAAGAAAGCGAAGAAGCACTTTTTAAAGGTATGGGGTGGAGTAGGAGGGCGGGGTCAAAATCTATTTTCATGAAAGTGGTGGTTGGTATTTGAGAGTGATAATACGGGCTTTGTATTTCATTTGACTGCTTCAGAAATTGGGTGGGAGTGGAGGTGGGGGTGGGGAACATAGGACACCCCCAATATTAATACCTCTTCCATATTCATAGTTACCAACTTTGAAACTAAGTAATAGGATTGCTTTCTTCGCTAGCCTTTACTGAAAAGGGCAGGAGGGGAACAAGTTTGTTAACCAGCCTTTGGATAAATGAGTGTTAGCAGTGATTTAACATGACTGGAAAGCAATTTGTTTCTAAATCCTCTTATTATTGCAGTGTGCCCAGGGCTTTGAGAGAAGTTTTTTTCTTCTTCTTCTTCTTCTTCTTTTTTTTTTTAAAGTAAAACAAAATGATCAATAAGGAACATTTCAAACGACAGGTTCAGTCACCATACAGCTAGATGGCTTTGGTGCTTGCCATTCCCAAGAAACACAGTATTGAGAGCAAACCAGCAAAGAACCCGGACCTCATTTCATCTCCTAGATACACATGAAACAGGCTGACTTGGAGCGGTGGAGCCTAACGTAAGAGGTGGAATGGTCACATTTTGGATCAGTGCCACAGGCACTGTGTTCCTTTTTTTACTCATCTCTAATAAAGAGTAAATGTTAATTTGAGTGTATAGCATGTGCTATCATATTTATCTAACTTTGGTTTCTGGGTTGTAATGTTTTGAATCCAACAGAAAAATAAGTAATTCTTGTTCGTGGAACTGAGAACAGTAGACATTCCATTAAGCACCATTATGTTGATATTAAAAGCAGAAATAAAAGTATCCATTTTGTTGAAGCTGGTAAATATTGGTGTGGCTTCGAATTTGGATAATTTTCTATTATCCAAAAGGGCTAGCGTTTTGTTAAACCCTAAACAGTGAATTAAAAGCACTGATGAGCTAACGCAACCCTCTAATGCAAAATGACAAATTGCACTTAAGCAATACATGGACAAGAAAATGATTTATGGATTTTTACTATGGTCTGAGCAAATGAAGGCAACATGAATTATACATCCTAATGTTCTAGATATAATTTTCTAATAATACTGTTTAGTTTCAAATGCGATACTCTTGTCCTTTCTATAGAGATGTTGATCGATAAGAAGTCCAGGAATATTTTAAAATTAGGAAACAGTTTTTAATCCTTGCTCCAGATATTGAAGGTGGCCTGAGTGGGGGTGAAGAAGATGAACATTGACCATACTAACATACTTGCCATCTCTTTTAATAGTAAAGAAATAGCCTTTTGGAAACTTAGGTTCCCCCACCCCTTGCCATATTTTGGAATGGAGATAAATAGATCTGATTTAGAATGACAATATTTATTACAACATGACCCTCTACAATCAAAACGTATTATTTCTTCCTACCCTTTTATTATATAGTTTAGATATTAAGAGGTCTGATTTCTCCACAATGTCTCTTAACCTCTTCATATTGTTATAATGCTATAAAATACATAATTTTATTGCAACTTTTATAACATTGTTTTATTCTTTAGTATGTTGAAGATACCCCTTAGTTAATAAAAGTTCACATCCCTTAGGTTTTTTTTTGTTTGTTTGTTTTTTAACATTAGTGGACAAAATAGATTTTATGGACCTTTTAAATTACAGGGGAAAAAATCAATCATGTAAAATTTTATGTGATGCTTGTATTTGAGTCTGAAAAATATGAAGATCTAGTTATTTCTGTGTTATAAAGTGACTGTTT